CAGCTTCTCCAGTCGGTTGGAGCTAAACGGAGCTGTCTCGTGTGGACAGACACTATCCGGTGAACATTGCGTGTGGACGGAAGCTTTTTTGCGATTGCGTTAATCCTATGCGTTTAGCCGTATGCGTCCTCGTGTGGCCGGGGCCTTAATATAGAACAAAATATGTTTCACACAAGCACGAACCACGCCCCTTAACTGTGATATAATGACCATATACCACGGCCTGTCGTGAGCTATTGCTTAATTACGCAAGCAAGATCAGATGGTAGCATTCCAACCATTTATACATTTTTCTCAGTAATATGTACGGTGGCCGACAGGTGCAATCGCGCTGCAACCGTTTTAACTTTATTATCCCCGAACGTCAAGAAGTGCTCCGGTCCCAGCTTCGAGCATCACTTTTGAGTGTCCCTGTTTCCGTGTTTGGAGCGCCTAGCAGCAGTTTGTATTTGCAGTGTTTCATATTTTGTAGCGTTTCATTAATGCAGTGCTTTTAGTAAACGTTGCGCATGTCCCGTCAAGTTGCTGGATGATTTCTAAAAGTTGGTGAAGATGTTTCTTCATGTGTTTTGGCATATTTGTGTTTTTTTATTTGCAATGGTAGAGCGTTCCTCCTATGGTAAATGTTTTGGGTCGTTGAAGCGCATTTGCACAGGTCGACCACCATAAATATGATTATGTTTCCAATTCAATTTAGACTTTTTTTTTTGTAGAAGAAATGGTTAACCTCAGAGAAATGTAAAGATTATTTTTGTTTTTTAAATATGCCCTTTGTTTTGTTTTGTTTAGTATAAAACCCGCCCATGTCTGAAAGCAATAAAAACATAATTTATTTGTATAGTTTTCCTGCTCGCACAAATACTTCAGCAGCAGAGAAAAACAAAACAAAAATGTAAATGCTCATTTTATAGCTCCAGTTTAACTTTTGAGTCTGGAGGGAAAATATATACATTTATATATTGTAGCCATGCAGCCATACACAAACATATAATCAACCTACTGTACTGTCTGTTCTGCCTCATACCACATCTGTTTTTACTTTTAACAAGACTTTATACGGCACATGAGATCTTCCTGTGTTTGGCAGAACATCCATAAAACAGAAGACTGACCTTAAGAAAGTCCACAGTCGGCTCTCAGAGGGCCCACAATGCATTTCAGCAGCTTCTCGGGAACGCTGTCTCCTGTCATCAGTCCTGCCCTTGGCTTTGAAAACCTTGTGGGGCATCAAGAGCTCATCATTAATTGATCACATTTGTGTGTGATTCTATTTATAGTCGACCGCTTCCGTACAGTAACACTTCTTCCTCTCCTTCTACATGAAACACTCAACACTCGTGAACAAGCATGTCATTATTAGGTCAGTTTTGTCAATTTCACAGCAGGTTACTGAGAAAATGATTGTATAGTTTGTTGTGTTTTCTCTCATTTCCAGAAAACATATCACGCTGCGGGAGCCTCACTACACGAGGCATGCATATTTCAAACGCTCGATCTGAGTCGAAGGCATTGCCACGTGGTTGCTCGGGGCTCGATGGGGGGGGGGGTTCTCTCCTGCTGGGGTGTCTTCCATATTGAATGATGTTGTTGGTAGTGAGGCAGCCATGTGACTTTGTTTTCCTTTAAGAGAGCCTGCTGCCTGCTCTGCACAAACCTTTCATGGATGAAAGAGAAAATTGAAATATTGCTGCTTTGACACCCATGTCTATAGAGCAATTACATACTTTAAATGAATTGTGTTTGTTTATAGCACTCCATAGCTTAAGATAGATGCACTCGTATATTTGTAATGCTTTATAACAATGGTCATAAAACAATATACTGCATTCTATTATTATGAATAACAGAGTCAAAACCATAATACTGCATCATCCAGTGAGATTTATTGCAAGGATATATTATGTATATTCTCATAGTTGCATTATAATACAATCTGTTCGTAATGCATTTCAATCATATATTGCATGCAGAACAATTACACATAGCATTATAAGTACTTTTATAATAAAGAAGAATGTCAGTGCAGCAGCAATTATAATCCTTTATCAAAAATATATGCGTTATAATGTATCTGTAATTAATGTTGTTTTAAAGGATTAGGAATGTTTACGAGTGTTCAGAACTTTAATTATAGTGCTATAATCGGAAACATTTTAAAAAGTATAAAAGTAAAAAAACATGTTCTGCAGAAGATATATAAAAGTACTTATAAATGTAAGATATATAAAAGTACACACAACAATGATATACATTAATGTTATTGTAAAAATGCTTAATCCAAGTTGTTACTTCTCTAACAAGTACTATAAGGAAAATATAATGCTGACAAATGACGCGTGGGAGTTTAAAACTATATAATATATTACAAGATTATAATTGCTCGTCTTAATGCGTATGCAGAATGTTTGAGTTGGTCCAGGTGGAGCAAACAGAGGGTATGAGTTTGATTTGGAAGGCAGTGCAGTAAATAAAATATTGAATATAGAAATCATGTGGGAGCGTAGTGGTGTAATGAGCATATTATATACCAAAGGAAAAAAAAAGCTATTAAATATAATACAGTATTTTTATATCGTTCTGGCACATATTACACATATTTAAATCTCAATGCATGGCAGATTGTAAATGTATTTGCAGCCAATTCTCCACATACTATTGGCTCCAACAATTATCTTGGATAGTATCCTGCATAAAATGTATGTGTGGGTTACAAACAGGGATAACTAGCAATAAACATCATAACTCTTAATAAAACACATTTTGAATGTTTCTTTTTTATTAGTCAGGTGGTGAAAACGTTCTGCTTGTGCTAAACCTTAATGTTTAAAGTCATATTACGGTCAAATCCTGGCTCATGTGTTTTGATATTTAGGAGTATTGCATTAACTAGACTGCTATTCTGGATATGCCTTAAAAAGCAAATGGACAAAAAGACGTGAGGAAAGACAAATAATCTCTCCCTTAACGCGTTCCTATTTATGTCGCTTCAGATTAAACTCAATGGCAGACGTTTGCTGCCCTCTGCTGGAGAGAGACAGTTGGACGTCATAATACATATTTTTACAGTATTCTGTGAACTAACTCCAATCCTTTTATATGTATCAAGTTTAATATGAATAATGATCAACTAACAATAGCAAAACTATAAAGCACACACAATATGTTGCACCACATGCCTCAAATCATTACATGGCATGGGATTTAATTCAGTAAATTGGACCAGGAATTCCCTTTCACAAATGCATATTCAAATTAGCCTAAGGCTTCGGTCCGAAGCCTTAGCCTAATTTGAATATGCATTTGTGAACATTTGTCAAAGCTCAAAGGACTAACACTATTATTAAAATGCAAGATTGTGCATTGCATCGTGAGGGGAAGGGTAATCAGGCTTAAAATCTATTCAATTACTACATTTCATTAAATAAAGTTACATTAGATATGATCAGAAAGAGATCATTACACAAACATGGCTGCCTCTGTGTGTTCTCTGAATAGCCGTTATATAAATGAAAGTAATGAGATAAGCAATGTTACTTTACATTTAATTCAAGGTGGAAATGAAACATTAATTACATTTCAGACTTCAAATCACTACAGATGTTTTGGAACTGGGTTAAGAGTTAACAAATATTTAACTTCCATTAAAAGAGGTGTACCAGACCATGATTGACAACTCCAAATGTTACTAAAAAAATAGTTTCAAATGACCACACAATTTGGGACCAGACATCTCTGTATATTGCATATTTCGTACTGTAAGCAATTGCTCGTTCCTTGCCAATTTGATCATTTATGCACATTTATTTGAATATCCACATTGTCCACATGTTATATGTTTATTTTCATATTTGTGTTGTAATGTTCTTCTATTCTTTACTTGTGTTTCTTGATTTTTGCAGTACTTGCTTTTATTTGAAGTTATTCTTACTCTTTTTATGTTCATGTTAGCACAAATTCACCAAAGCTAATTCCTTGTATGGAAATCTACTAGACAAAAAAAAACATTATCTTTTCTGTATTAACAAGGCTCTCATAACTTAATGTCCAACATGATCCTAAAAGAAAACACTAACTGCAGTGTGGAACACAACATGACAAACAATAATTAACTTTGTAATTCAGGATGTGATGTTTCAAAACTGCGATAACAGCAAAAGATAATATTACATTTTGACCATTTTTATGTATCCTGAATTCCAATATTTCCCATCATTAGCCTGCATATTGATGGACTCTATCTACCTTCCTAGTCTTAATTCAAGGGTTTTTCACTGGAAATATTTAAAGAAATCAAAAAGGGCAACCTCCAACAGTCCTATGACTCATGAACGCAGAGTTACATATGAAATAGAAAAATGTTGTTACACTCCGACACTCATTTTCACTATAAAACTCAAATAAAAACACACCTCTGCACAGACGTCGGGGTTCCAGATCTATGCGTTTCACAGCGATACAACACGATACCCTGTTATATTCACTCATCATTACTTTCACTTAATCAATGTTTAACAAGCCCCCGGTGTTGTGTAACAGACAGAGGCTCAGCTTGCAATGTCCAAATAAAGACCAAGGATTACATTTTAGATGTGAAGTTGCTACCAGCTAGAATTGGCAGGGAGTAAAAAGCAGCGACGTTTAAGCTATGTAGGTTTTCTAACATTTGTCATATATGTTATCCTTGTCTACTGAAGTATTGAAAGACTGTCTCATTGTGCACACTTAAAAAAAGAATGCCTTTTTTTGTTTTGTAAAAGCACATTTCTGTCACACGATTACTGTTTGCGAAATTGAAGAACAAGATTTTACTTTTATTAGGTAAATTACTAAAAGTCGGCCTCAATAAAAGCTTAATTCTTGGATGTAATGTTAAAAAAGGACCTAACTTTTAGAAACAAACGCTTCAACTCAATTTCCCTATGTTCTAGATAAAGCCTGGGAGTTAAGATAAACAGCGCCCCATCAGATCTTTAAATCTATCAATTTCATGCTGAACCTTCAAGATTTTTACTAATAAAGGAAACAGAAAAAGGCAGGAGGCTCCTACAGGTTTCAAAGTCCAGGCTTTCACCAACTATTAACCAACAAAGCAGAGAAGTGGATGTGTCTAACCTAGACGGGCACTCAGCCAAGGCCGGTGCAACAGTTTTCCGCACCTGTGATTCAGATCAGCTCTTCCTTGGCCCATGCTACGCTCTTCCAACAAGAAAACGGGCCGGTTGTACTGTACCTCCCAAAATCCTGCTGACAAACAATCGGAACATAAAACCAAACATTCTTGGCAGATATATTAATAAATCTAGCATTTCTCGTCCATTTCCTTTAAATACAACCTCAGGCACTAAAAAATACAAAAGCAGCAATAAAGAATTTTAAGGTGATATTTAAAAAATACTGTATTTTGGGTCAAGCACTCTTTCAGAGCATCACATTGACATTTCCTTCAAAAACACTGATACAAACCAAAGACACTGTCTCACATTTAACATTCAATTCAACCTTTTTTTTAAATAAACAGCTGTCCTAAAAAAGAAAAACATGAAAAATGCAGTATCAAATATGAAAGCATGTCGTTAAAGCAAAGCCCTTTATGGTGAACATTTCTAGACATCATGATGCTGGCAGCTGCAGCAGATAAGTATTTACAACTCCAATTCTTTGGTCCCATTTGGTTGGATCAAAGCCTCAATTCTAAATGATGCCAATTCATTACATCAATTTGCTTAAAGAAAAAGCTGAATAGAACTGTTTCTAGTTCAGCGCTAATTCATATTAAACATCATGGATCGCAATAATTGAAACTGGTATTGTCACCTCTACTACTTCTGCTGCCACTGTCAGTTACATCAACATGCTGCTTACTGCTCTTACTACTACTGGGAGAATGATGTGAGGCCAACACTGTTTGTATTGTGGCCAACAGGTGCAAACGCGTTAGTGGCCAAAAACACTTCCATTAGGCGAAACCCACTTTCAAAAACAAACACAAATGTGCCATAACACATGCAAACGAAGGAACATCGTCACCAACTTGACGAAACATGCGCAACGTTTATTTCTAACTTTATAATCTCCAAATGTCAACAAGTGCTCCGATCCCCGCTGTGTGCATCACTTTTTAGTGTCCCAGTTTCTGTCGGTTTTTAGCTTCTAGCATTTTGTATTTGCAGTGTGACGTAGTGAAGTAGGGGAATGTTTTATAAATGCTTTTGCGTTATTGAAAATGCAGGGCGTTTCTCCCCTAATGGAGATGTTTTGGGCCGTGTAGCGCGTTTGCACTTGTCGTCCACCTTATATTAGGGCTAAAATCTGTAAACATAATTCAAAAATGAATTTTCAATTCAAAAAGAACATATTTAGCTATTTTGGAATATTCTACAAAAAATTGTTTTTCATTTGTAGGAGAGTTAACAATTAATATAACATTTTCTTTATGTCTATACAGTTTTGGCTATCATTAAATAATCTAATTGTAGTTTTCCCAACAATTTAATATTATCCCTTCACGTTAAATTCTAATCGACTAACTAAAGATAAGAACTGCCATGATGACATGCTTCATGGATGCTACACATGCATTACACTAGCAAATGGTACAACTTTTTATATAAAAATGTTTCCTAAACATTTGAAATTAACAGTCAAATGTTACCTTTTAGACATTCTCTCAACAACAACAACAACAACTTTGTAACATAACTCAGAATCCCTTTAGCACATACTTCAGTATAACTGAAATCTCTTTGATCCCAAAAAAAGAGATTACATTTTGAGTGATTTCTAACATTCTGCCCCTTACTTATCTACTGGAGCTACTATTTTAAGGAATTTGATTGTTCAGGCGTACCTCATAAAATGGTAACCCAGTGTGTATTTTGAGTCTGGATTACAAACTAAGATGCAGCCACACAGGCCCATGCTAATGTCATGGGTCCTGAGACTTTTAATTACAAGTATGAGTACATGTAACTATGTACTACTAAGTATAATAATCCTTTAACCTAAATTCCAGGATTTTGTTGAATCAAAAGAATGCTCTTGTGCATACTTTCTGCACTCAGGCCAGATGTCTCTGCAGGGGGAGGCTTACCGTGACGAAAACCAGGACAAGAGGAGACCAAATATGGAAATGGTCAGATAAAAATAAGTGTTGTAATAACCGCCCATTCTTGGCCCAGAACAGCAAGGGGCTAAATATAAAACCTTGTGGTTTCCCGTGCCTCGCCTCCTTAGTGTTTCTTTAAAGTATTGCTACTCTCCTCTAAGGCCAGAAACCTCAAGAAAAAGGAAGCTTCTTGTTGGAGTGCAGCTGAATAAATACAGCAGTGTATCATTACCTACAAAATAACTTTTTGATTACAGCCTAAGTGCGCCAGTGGGTGTGAAATGGCACATCAAATTGTTTCTACATTGTCGTCTGCCTCTGACATAGTTTCAGCAAAAAAAAAGGATCACAATACACCCTTTTTTACAAAGAGTCTCAGAAAAACCTGTACCTCAAAAGAAAATTGTCTGCCAACAATCACAACAGCACACTTTCCCTTCTCTGAAAAGTATATTGTGTCTCTTTCCAGGGGTTTGGTACCATGGAAGTATCCCCACTAGGCTTCATTTAGAGTGCTGCTCAGCAGAGTCTGGAGCCAGAGAGACACGGATCTTTGTGGATCTGCAGCCAAATCCGAGGCCTGATACTCTGTGTGCTCTCAGCAGTCCACGGGGACTTTAGGGGAAGGAGGAGTCCTCTTCAGCCTTGTCAGTACTTATTAATCCCAAAGATCCTCACGCCGTGCAGCTGGGGCAGCTTTGGGATGAGGACAGTGAGCAAGGAAACAGTGTTGACCACAAAATGGACCCGATCGTACTTGGTGTAGAAGCTGGTTAGTATGTACCTAAATCAGAGGCAAAAAGGAGAGGAATAAGTCATGATTACGAGGGTTAAACAGATAAACAGTGTTTATGTCTGGTTTGTCATTTTGATAACAAGGCTGAAGAACACAACAAGATCTTAGTTAAAGGAAAACTCAAATTAAAAGATTAAAATGAAAGCTGTCAAAACATCACTACAATAAGAAGGATTTGGCGGTTGCTGTTGGTAATCACAACGTTTGGAGAAGTAGAAGAGAGTCATAAGTTATTATTAAGAAAGATTATTTTAGTATAAGTCTCAGTCTATACATTATTGTTGTTTTAAAGAAAATCCTACTTTGTGTGTCTTTATGTATGCAATAACACTTTCACTTATTTGTCCTCTGACAATCGCGGACAGATGTTTATCACCTCGGAGCTCTCACAGTGCAAACAAATTCATCTTTAGCACAGTTTCAACACGCCGAACAACAGGATTGCAGCACAAGTTCATTGAAATTGAATATGCAAATGTGATTATGTAATGCTAATCTACAAATCTATAAAAATCATCTTTAATGAAGAACAACCAAATCAACAGACATGGAACGAGACAAACATTCAGATATGCTTCTATAGTGAGTTCCCAGCACTTCCTGCATGAACCCTGACCTTATTTTAGCTACACGCTGGCAGAGGAAGAACAGATGTTCCTGGTGAGACACAAGCCAATAAGAAACTACTCTGATCTGTTGTAAACAACATTTTTAGAATTAACTGTACACACTAGTTAAGGATTTTCTGTCGGCTAAGATTGAGGAACCCTGTTCTCTGCTCGTCAAGTGAGGACGTGTAATAAAGGCTCAAGAGACTTTCGAAGACGTTTTTCTTTTCCATCTGGAGCCTCGAGCCTGACCACATGTCTCCTGCTGCTGGCACTGGTTGCAACACAAGAGGCTTTGAAAGTAACTAGAAAAAAAAGTGTACACCTGCAAAAACTGCCATCACTACAATGTTTGAGCTGAGCCGGCAATTCAACCCCAGGGAACCAGAGTGCTTCCTGTAAACTGAACTCTGTCAGTTAATAAGGAAAGCAAAGAGCATGACATCAGCAAAGAGGACTGCTGCAAATACTAAGACCCTTAACCATTTGTGAGCTTGGCCAGCAGGGCTATCAAGTATCATTCAAAAAAAGAGGTGCAAGGGGAGGACAACTCGAAAGGAAAGGTACAGTTTCACTCATTGTCAAAATGAAGTGAAACAGAAGACCCGTCTCGTATATATGCAAAGCACCTGGAGAGCAGTGTGGGGGTCCGGTGCCTTGCTCTTGCCTTTACCAGTAGTTAAACTGGCACCTCTAAAAAGTACAAGTCCACACTCTGTACTTGGTCCATTTGCGGAATTGAACCAGCAACCCTCAGTTTCCCTACAGATATAGCTACTGCTTCCCAAAATAGTACAACTTTGCACAGAGTTATAGGTAAATATGCATCATTTGGTAGCAGACTGATTAAAGCATGGGTTGGCCCAGGGGGGAAATTACCCACTTATATAGAGATCCACACAAACTACTGGTGCCTGTGGATGGGAGGCCGGTGAGTGATCAAGTTATTCTGGCTGGGCTATCTAAACTCTCTTCTTCTGTTGACAGCTAACCTATACCAAGCTTTGGTTCTCCAAAAGTTACAATCCTCCTCTACTCTCTTTTCGAGCTCAGATCCATCCCTTATGATCAGCTGCGCCCCACACAACTAAAGGCCTAGCATTGGGTTCAGTGGAGCAACTTACAGGACAATAGGTGTGATGGTGAGGAACTTGCGTGATGCAGTGAACTGCACCCCATAGTCCATCTGCTCCCAGTATGTGAGGAGGCGAGCCTTGCCCTGATCTGGGGTCTCAAACGGCGTCCCTTTGACCGTGTGGAGAAGCAGGTACATGCACTGCAACAGACAAGGCACACATAGTCAGACAAAAAGGGCATTTTACATATCAATAACAGATACATGTTGGGTGATATATTGTTATAATAGTCTTGATTAATTGACCTCAAAGCCATCAGGAAGTCCAGGAGCAACAAGTGGGTTCTCCCCAAAATCCAAAAATATATATTTTCCTCCTTACTTGTAGTAGCTTGATGGAACTAGATGGCACTTTTGGTGCTCAAAGATCACATTGAAGTTAATATTGTACTCTTTAAGGCTAGAGGAGTCTTAGGTTATCAAAATATATGATGCAAGGCTGATTAATACCTCAGCTCTTTTAATTAAACACTGGTTATAACATTTCTGGCACCCATTTATTAACCAAGAACCTGACTAAGTGCAGTGACACAGCAAATAAAAAGTTTCTTTCTTCTTAGATTCCTTAGTTCAGAGATGTGTAACCCTCTGACTCAACACTCCCCAAGTCTTTCACCAGGCTTCACTGTCTGTGTCCTCCTCTGAACCGACTCATTCGACAGATGTTCAGGGAAACTTTAACCACTCACCAGATTGTGAATGAGGTTGGTGAGGGTCCAGACCACGGGCACGCTGGCGAAGGGAATGCTGAGTATGATGACGTGCAGGAGGCCGATGCCCAGGATGTAAGTCAGCCACATTCCTCTGCTGTTCATCACTCGGGTGTTGGGGTTCACCTCGCTGTGCGCCGTGCCCACGTTCATGATGGCGTCTGTCTACTCAGAGCGCTCTACCTACCGTATAATCGTACAAACGGTCTTAGTTTGACCCAAGCTGGCGTGACTATCTGTCTACTGTAAGATAAACAGAGAGAGGTTTCCTGATTATTCAAGTCATTATCTTCAGGGCTATTAAGATTTATGGCAATTATCTAAGTGTGATTGCATAGTATATACTGTTAACATTTATGGCCTACTGTCATTTATTTAAAAACTCTGAAGGCTATAGAGAACTTCCCCTCTTCAGAGATAAATAATATATCTATCTATTTTTATAACAATAGCTATTCCTCCTGGGGTATACATAAATGTATTACAAATATAACAGTGAAAATGTCAGTGTACTTTACTTAACATCAATTGAATAGTTTACTATATTTTGAATACTGTTAAGCCTGAAAATAAGTTATTATAGTTACAATATTAATTTCAAAATGGTATATGTTCTTTTATGGAATCCCCAAAGCCCCTGAATACAGCAATAAAGCACAATATGAAGATTTTAGCGGGCATATGTCAGCCAATCAAAAGACATAATTGTTTGTGCATATAAATAGATAGAAATAAAGCACAAATAAGGCTAAAATTAGATAAGAGTGAGCTAAAAATGGAAGAAAAACTGCTTATGGAGTCAGTATCTGCCTGTTCCACAGCAACTGATTGACAAAAGTAAACAATGTAGAAAGCGTTGGTCAATCCAGCATGCTGCCTTGTGAGTTGCCTAAAGTCTAACTGGCTACACAGTTATCCATAACGTGGCTAAACAGATCCACAAGTGGACTAGCTAACAATACTGGGATTCAAATATTCTTATCAATTCAATTATAGGTGAGTAAATAATTGCACTCACAGCAGAGAAAAATGGTTTCAACTCTGACCTGTATTGGCACTAGTCCGTTATCACAGTTTTTGTCTTATCGATGCCTTCAGTTATGTAACTGGTTCTATAACCGGGGGACCAGCGAGGCTCCAGGGCTTTCATCAGTCATCCGGCGACCATCTTTCGGCTTCAAACTTGCTGCTTAGCGCTGAGGGTGTGCTCGTGGAGGCTCACTATCAATGGAGACACACTTCCAATTTTTCTCTTCGTCTTCCAGACAACAGCTGGTGACAACACAGCAAAGTTCACGATGTAACGTCACCGCTATTCGCTTTCACGGCCCCATATATAGGGTGAGTTTTTTTACTCTTCGCATTCTGAAGTGATTGGTTTTTGTAGATCACGTGGCCAGAGCTGGCCAATCTGGATATAATGCGTTTTTAAAAGAAACGTGTTACACTCCCCCTTTGGACGTCACATCGTAGGCGGGATCAGAGGAAACGGGCATGAATTACACTTGGGAATTGATAGAGAACAAAATAGAAGCTGTACAGTAGTCGTTTGAAACATTTACTAAATTGTGGGTATGTTTCGTGAAAAATCCTTTAAAATCCTTTTATAGGCATGCATTTTCCAAACATTCTTTGTACTTGTGATGTTAGCTTATTTATTTCCTTGTTAGTTAAACATGTTCGTTTTAACAGCCTGTGGCCTATGACCTCTCTTATGATCTTATTTGTGTGCAAAAATAATAATAAAAAAACATGTATTCGTCCTAATTTATGTATATTTTGATATATAAAAAATGTGTACATATTGCAACATGTGCAGTTAGAAATAATATGTAATATAAAGAGAAAGTTGTTCTCTGCATTATCTATATATAGTATACATAAATATAACAAACGACAGCTGTAACCATTTTTCAAAAATTGCGCTGTTTATTGCCACTTAGATATATTGGTGTATGGTGTGAATGTATTGTGTAATGTGTATTTTAATGTATATCTACAGAATATTTGTAATGTAGGCCTATTGTGGTTTTATGATCATGAACTATACCTTATGTTGCCTATTATCAAATGAATTGTCCCTAATGAATAACATACATGAATTTATTGCAATAGAGTGCAAAATTGTATTATTCTATCTTATTTGTATTTACTTGCACATCTTTTTTTTGTGACCAACTTTTTATTGTTGTTTGTTTTTTTTGCCCTCACAAAAGGGACTTATTTACTTGCACATCTTGCAACATTCTCTTGCACTATTTTATTTCTATTCTGTTATTTCTTGCACTATTTATATTGGTTGTATCTGTTTTATGTCCCATATATATATTCATGTTGCATTGTTGGAGGTTACGTTTGTCATTGCCATATCTACACTATAACTACTGTGAATATGACAATAAAGCCTTGCATTGAATCTTGAAAACGATCAAACCTTCAATCACCCCAGCTAGTAACAGACATGGAATGAAAAATGGGCATGGTCTTTTTTTACTCTGACCTCCACCAAAAACACAGAGCGATACACAACCACTCATACAATTCTTGCCGCACATGTATATGGTCACACACTAAATAAATAAACTTGCCAGGGCTTTAAACAGTTTGTGGATCTTTTGTTAGAATGTTTTGGTTTGGATGTGCGTACCCAAAATCATGTTTAATATCATCGCGAGAGGAAAATAGATGTCATCCTGATAGAGACAAGAATGTCTTTACTAAATGTCACGGCAATCCATTGAATACATGTTGAAACGTCTTGGTCTGGGCCAAACCACTGACTGAACAGCCATACTACTCTTTATTCCAATCAAGGTTAGGGTTATTCAGATCTAAATCAAATTGACTTTTTGAGTACATTTCTGTTTAATTCTAACAACATCTGGCTCAGACATCGGTTAGCCCTTCATAGCAAAGTACAAAAGGAGGCTCTTGACTACTAATGTACCCTAGGTGAGAGAAGACCTGCTGGAGGCAATGAAGTATGACTGCCGGGCAGATGCTCTGGTCCCAAAATCAAAGACCAACAGTGTGATGTTATAGATCTTAAGATAAGCCGTGATACTAATTTAGGCTCACAGTAGCCCAAGGCCAAAGGGGTCAGCTGTGTTCTACCTGCATGCGATGTTACCTAACACCCACTGTTTTTAAGGGTACCTCTGTGATGAGCGGCATGAAACAGGTTTGGACTTTCTCTGATGCTCATAGCCTTGGGTGCTCTAGCTGTGATAGCTATGTAAACCTAGAGCTCTGTACTAATGCGAACCATGGATGACAGTGCTGTGAGATCATTGCTGGCACAGGAACAAAGGCCAAACCCATGATAAAACAGACCTCAGGTAGGGGGGAAATGATGACGCCTTCAGATGACACATAAACAAGACTTCACCTGAGTATGTTCATCATTGAGAGACAATTAAAGGGATTTAAAAAATATATACAGAATAATTATTTTCAGTCTGAAAAGTAATGATAATGATGCATATTTTACGATAAATAAACGCAAGTGCACTCTGTTCTCCTTTTATACTGCTTTCAGTACACTGCTAATATACACAAGAATCCGTTCTAGTTAAACCTAAAAGAAATAAATCTTTAAACTAATTGAAAAATAGGATAAAAGGTAAAATTAAAAAAAGAGTGATAGCTACATTTTAAAGTAAACTAAACTAAACTAAACTGTTAAGTGTAGTGCAGAAAAAAACAGTAGTAATAACGCACTGACGCCAAAGGGGGGCGACATTACACTACAAATAAGTGCCTTCACTTCCTAAAAATTACCCATGCCATTTATCACGTTATATTAACATATTCTGTACTTTTTTACAGTTCGTACAAAGCACAAACAATATAACGATTTAAAAGGACTCAAAATACCTGCAGAGAAAATATATTTTCAAGATTATCCCTTTGAACAGACTAGATACTTTGAAGTGTTTAAAGGTGTATTCTAAGGAAAAAAACTATTTTCACCGTGTAGATCTAATCTATGTTCACATGTAAATGAAGAAAGACTAAATGCGGACCAGTCAACATACGGCAGATAAGAGTGTGTTATTTTTTTTCACTTAATCTCCAAATCGCCTAGTGTGTTTCTCAAACTGTATCATTGGAGGAAACTGTATTACAGGAGGCCCAGGTGCTGTCATGGACACTAAAGGATAAAGGTTAGTGATATTCATTCAAACGAACATTTTTTTTTAGCATTGAGTGGCTCATTTATTCATGTTCGAGGTCGCATTATTTTTCAGATTTGTTAAACTTTGCTTGTGCACATTGTCTTTAGTTTCTTTTATATCAGGAGACCATGAGTCGAAATCTAGTTCTAGGAGTTATTTTATGTGATGCTCCTACGCTAGATATTTATATTGTAGTTATATTAAATTAAATGTAACAACAATATAGGTTGACATGGCCTCACGAGAGCTCTGAGCGAGACTTGAGGGTTCCATGGTTGCTATGCAGGCTCTCCAGGTTAATGCTCTTAGTTTGAACAAACACAAACTTCCTGACGGTCAGAAACTCAACATTTCTGCTCTCACTCGACAATTTCTCTGAAAACAAACCCATCAACCTGAACTTTTTGCTTCCGGACCTCTCCCTAAACCCTACTGTCAAAACGTACAGGAAGTTTTTCGGGGTAGATGTGAAATTTATTCACTTTTTTCACCCATGTTGTTTTCAATGCATTTTACAACTGACGCTCTCCAAACCCCGTACAAAATCACCGATATATCTGAAGATATTGACAATTTCTTCTATTTTTATTGTTAATTAATCAAATTAGAGTGTAATAATCCTGTTGTGACAAAATAATGACCAACCGTTTCACCTGTTGAAAAAGTTAGCATGCTAACGTATACTGATTTGACCTTTTTAGTGCTACAAACCATAACTGAAACAAGCTTACAAGTTAAAACATTATTTTATCCTTTTTATTGAATATATATGACTGATATTCACGATTGTCCTCGTTTCTTGATCATTACAGAGTAGATTAAGTGAAATAGCTGCAACAGAAATAGATTTATATTTACATGCTATTGTCATAGTAGGAGAGCTTAAATTAACATATTGTTGAAGAAATTGTGGCGTAATTTTGCCTCTGTGAAAGTTATATAAACCTGCTTAATGTAAACCTCACTGTAAAAAAAGTATTGAGACATAGCACTACAAACTAGGATTAGAAATAACATGTTGTGCATCTAAATATGTTCTCATAAATTCAGATTTATTGAGACAAAAGTTGGTGCATTCTTTAGTCCTTTTTTCAGCCTGTAGCATGAATATTTTTCACAGTTTGCTTTCTTTATGCCTTGTTCCAGCAACATATGTTAACATTTGTAAGGCAATGCAAAGAAAGTGTGAAACAAATGCATCCATTTGGGACTTTGCTACTATTTTATACTGCAAACACTCTTTACTCTTGCTCGTGTTTAGTTTTCGTGCATGTTCTTTACGTTTTGGCATTGCAATATTGATCCTTTGAATTCAATATGTGGAAGTGATTCTGGTGTAACACTCCATGGTATATTAACCTGATGTGTTGTGTTTATCACCTTCAGTTGGTCCAAGCAAACAATTGGACAGCTCATCCTTCGCAGGATCCCAGCAGCACTTGGCTACTCACCTGGCTCCGCTTCATTCAGTCCACTGAGAACCACGGTAAGAAGGGCGAACACTTTCCAGAACCTAACATCACACATTTTACACAATTACTATAAACACATATGGATTTATTGTCCTTGAGAAAAGTAAAGGCAAGACATGTTTTAAAAAGTTTGCACATTACAGCCATGGCTGTTTCTTGCAAGCTTCCTTTCTTTAGCTCATATTTCAGTAAAATGCTCTCACGTGTTTCACTTTATGCAGCGCTTGTTTGAACAATGTATTATTGCATTGTCCTCCTTTTAGTTCAGTATGTGATGAGTGATTATTGTGTAACCCTCGCTGGTGTGTCGTCATGACGTGGAGCATGGTCTGATTGTTGTATTTATTTTTTACCTTCAGATGGACCGGCACTACAAGTGGACAGCGGTCCTCCTGCCAGACCCCAGCCGGCCCCGCCTCATCCTGCGTAGGACCCCAGCCCCCCCCTCCCAGAGTGGCTCCTCACCTGGTTCCCCAGGTACAGCTGCCTCTGGATCTAACACTTCTCCTTCTCGCACCCCCTTCAGGGTGGTCTGCAGCTCCTCCCCCGACTCCCACCGTGGCCCCCCAGCTGGCCCCGCCCCTGAGCCGAAGTGGAAGAAGAACCTGAGGCTTCTGATGAAGAGGAGGGACCAGGCTGGCAGCAGGGGGAGCAGGAGAGGCGCTGTGGATGAATGTAAGTCTGACCCTGGCTCCTCCTCGCGCTCTTCCTCTTCCTCTTGCTCTTCCTCTCGCTCTCCCTCCCACTCCTCCTCTCCCTCCCACTCTCCCTCCCACTCCTCCTCCCCCTCCCACTCCTCTTCCTCCTCCTCCTCTCGCTCTTCCTCTCGCTCTTCCTCCCACTCCTCCTCCTCCTCCTCCTCTCGCTCTTCCTCTCGCTCTAGCTCTTCCTCCTCCTCTACCTCGTCCTCTAGCTCTTCCTCCTCCTCTCGCTTTTCTTCTTGCTCTTGCTTTTCTTGCTCCCCCTCCCCTGTCCTCTCCTGCAGACCCCCCCCACCTGTTCCAGAGGAGGGCTGGTCTCTGGTGCCGTGTGCTCATCCCACCAGGATCGTCCTCCAGTGGCCGCAGCAGTCCGGCTCCTCCCCCCGACCCGAGCCCCCCCGTGAGCCTCTGCCGGTGAGGAAGGTCCCGGAGCAGCAGTGGATGAAGAGCGCCCGACTTCTGATGAAGAAGAGGAGCCAGGTGGGCAGCAGGTGGCGCAAGAGAGGAGCTGAGGCTGCAGGTATGTCAGCAGGTAACGGTGCTGCTAAGCGCTTCTGTCCTTCCACTTAATTTGTACATGTTTTTTTTCCCCCCGGCTAAATAGAGTAACATTTGTTTATATTGTATTTCTTAAAATTGAATTGATTTGAGTTAATTGGAATTATTTTTAATAGATTTCAATTAAATTGAATTACATTTATCTAAATGTAAGCTGTTCAAATTGAATTGAATACTTAACAAAATAATTTGTTTTTGTTTAAATGATTTGATCGGGTAAGTATTTTCTCATTTAATTGAGCTCAATTCAGTCGAAATGATTTGAACCTAAAAATATTTAAATTTGATGAATTCATATTTTTTTAAATTGCACTGCTTTGATATTAACTATTTTGAAATGTGAACGGTAAGTATTGGATTGAACTGAATTAAAGGAAAGTGTATCAGATGTAAGGACCCTGCTCTGGTTAGAATACTTGTTGCCAGTCAGGCAAGGGCGTCTGCACAGAGTGGGGGGGATCTGGGGGGGACAGTGTGAACCTCCAACTTGTTTCACCCCCTCAGTGAAGCCCCCCTGTGCAGAGAAGGAAAAGGATGGCGACACCATGTCATAGCGGTCCATATGTCTGTCGAGGGCCACCCCAGCCAAGAAGAGTCTGCAGAGACAAGGGCCTCAGGGCAGGGGCCACACTGGGGAAGGGAGGGGGGGAGAGTAACTGTAGTGGTACAAACTATAAGATCAGCAACAAGGTGTTTAAAAATGATTAAAAAAAAACATTGAAAGGGTGGTAAAATGGGATAAAAGGTTTATTCAATCAGAAATAGAGGTTTAAAGAGCACGGAGGAGAGATGAAAAGGATCACAGCAGAGAAGAGTAGAGAAGAAACAGTAAGGGAAGACGAGGAATAAGAGAAGAGAAAATATAAGAGAGGGGCATGTGGGAACCCTCTCATTATTACAGGTAAATATCATTTTAACATTTTCATCAGTACTACTTGTTTTTAACAGTGTTTGCATGTGTTGTTGTTTTTCCAGAGAGGAGCAAAGAGGGGAGGAAAGAAGCGAAGAGGAGAGGAGGAGGGAGGCAAAATTAAGAGTGACATCTCACAAACAAAATGGTAATAATCAAGATATCCAATATCATTTCTAGATTTCACAAAGTTATTTACGTTTGTAAAGAACTTCACATGCAACGAAGGTAAAAACCAAGTTATTCAATCTTTTGTTTCTAGATTTCAGGAAGTTCAGTTCACTTGTTCACACGTTATTTTTGAAGATTCTAACATCACTTGTTTTTATTTTTAGAGAGAGGAGAGGGTAGGAGAGGAGGTGGAGGGGCAAAACTAGGCATGACTTCTCATGTAAAGAAGGTCAAATACTGATACTAGATTTCACAAAGTTCTGTTCACGTGTTATTTGAAGATTTTAACATGTTTTCCTTTTGTCTTTTAGAGACCTGAGAGGAACTGAGGAGAGGAAGGGAGGAGGCAATAATTAAGTTTGACCTCTCACAAAAAAAGGTATACATCATTTAATGTTATCACCACGTTTCGTTGAATTGAGTTCATCTGTACGACTTTTAAGTTTTTAATTATTATTTTAGTTCTTAGAGGGAGAAAATGAGAGGGAGAGGAGAGGAGGTGGAGGGCAATATGAAGGGCAGTCTTTCCCATGTAAAAAGCAAATAACAATGTATTTCATATTTTATTAAAATTAATGTGGTTGGATAACTCATCTGTTCATTTTTTTCTGGAGATTTTATTATTATTTTATGTTACAGAATTCAGGAGAGAAGAAAGGGTTAAAGAACAGGACATGTGAAGAGACGAGGAAAGAGGCTGAACAGAAGAGATTCTAAGTTTTGGAATAAAATGACGATGCTATGTAGTAATTATTTTAAATATTGTAAGGTTGCAATAAACTATAACTTGTGTAATTTTGAGGAGAATAAATATGATTTGTAATAAAACATTTTAAATAAAAATGCCTTGGTTTACAGAGTGTTGCTTGTATGTTTTGTCAGACAGCACCTATCTTTACAAATATTTAGTCTCAGCCAACAGGAGTGGGTTTCACATTTTACTGTAAGAAACTTTGGCTTCCAGAAAATCAAGGCTTCAAAGTCCTGCAGTGTTCTTCATTTCTCACACAACCACACATATAATAGGCGTTTGGATATGGACTACATTTCTTGATGCTTTGGCTAATGCCTGCAGGTCATCTGGCTAAGCCTTTCAGAAGCAATGTGATTCCATTAGAAGGACTCATGCCAGTAATCAAAGCTTTTAATAATCAGATGCATTTCATGTTCTACTTTGTTCTGGCATCAGTGGCTTAGACAAAGAAACATTATTTGACTTCAGACTAGAAGGGATATCTGACTATTCCATACACTTGTATCTAATTATCTACTACATACTGTTCCTAACAAGCATTCATTTTAGGGAGGAATAAAACCAACACGTGAACCATGACTTTCATACTCATCTTTGTTTTCTTTGAATTTGATGAACTGGTTGCTATAATACTGCTCCAAAAGCATTTCATACTTAAGAAGAGTATTATATTGTAAATATTTCAGTTTGTAACATTCCTTTTACTTGTTGAATCCCCCTGAAAAGAGCCAGCTTTATTGGTCTTCCATTCATTGTAGAAAATGGTTAATGATTTTAAAGCATTTAGTCTTTATAATATTCTTGTGCTAAAAGATTATTTAGAGTGATATGATATACTATACTTGAATGAAGCTTGCATTAGTCATAAAAAACCTACTTTATGACAAATATTTCGAAAATTCGAAGCAGCTTGTTCTTTGTTGTGGCAAATAAAGCAATATTGCAACGATTTGCCACAACAAACATATCACAATTATTTGATGATGAATTAAAGATTTAAAAGATGCTGATTTTTATATATACATTTTATTGACTGTTGGCAACCACAAGTATGCCATTCTGTAGACATCATATTGCATTCTGGTAAATAATGTCAAACATTTGTTATTATTTAGCGTTAGTTGTTTTGCCACATAACTAGATCATTGCTCCATGTTTATAAGGTATTTATTTGACATGTACTTGACCTCCTGACTGTGTGACCAGCAGATGTCAGCATCTACACACTTTTAATGGCTGCTGCCATCCTGGAGTCTGAACTCAAACACCTCCAGTGAGTGGCTTAGACGCAAGCAGTGGGGCAGTCAACTTCAAACGTATGATAGTTCAGTGAAGCTCACTCTCCTCTTTTCTATTTCTTTCCTGTACATTTATATAAGTGCATGTATTACTGTAAGGTCAAAGATTAAGATGTGCCAGTTTGTTCTATATACATATCGGATGAGGATAATTCAGCATCATTCACAATGACACAATTATCAATACATAAATGTTAATGGTCGAAATCAGACCATACCAAATATATTTAACCTAATGTGTTGCAATGCGGAATGAATGCTTCAGTTCTGATGGAGTGCCATACACAGTACTGGCTTCATTCAACACCTCCTTATATTAAAGTTAATGTGCAGTCTTTGTTGAAAATATGATTAAGAGGATTAGATTCTACTTTATGATCACTATATCTTGTGCTGCTGTTGTCTTATCCCATTTATGTCCAGGAGGGTAACATCCTCTATATTAAAAAGGGTAGACAAAGTGATATCTGGTTTAACTATCAAAATAAACTGCACTTTCCACATGACAATGGTGAGCTGACAAATCAACACACAGAAAGATCTTTGACAAACTAATACAGATTAGATTTCTTGCTTTTCTTTGTTTTATATCATGCTCATATCTTAGTAAATATCTCTGAGTATGGACTGTCATATCAATTTATAGACATCACATTGGATTTTGAGAAACTATCATGGACATTTTAAACTATTTTCTTAAATTGTATATGCCAAACATTTAAAAAAAATAATCTAACTAAATATTGCCATTCTTTATTTTGTCATAGAAAATTTGAAATGTTCCCAATCCAACTTGTTCTGTAAATCTAAAGAGTAAGGCATCAGATTATGGGAACGATTACCAGCTATCATTGGGCAGTGCTTGAAAATATAAAAATCTTTAAGGATATTGAAACAAATGACTCCTTACGCTCAGGGGCATGTGGGCTTGTGAGGCCTGCAGATACACTGCATGCTACAGCAGAGACAGGGCCAGGCAGGCCTCTCCAATAGGACAGTGGACTTGTGACCCAGGCAGGCTTGGATGATAGCCCCGCTGGAAAAGGCTGACGCAGGGAGTCCATTATTGCCCCTGGAGGAAGCTGAGGATTAGAACACCAAAGAATTTCAATAAAAGAAGTGTCTGTTTGGGGGTCGGGGAGGGGCAGAAGGATGGTGGTGGGTTGGGGTTGGGGGGGTCCCCCTCATTGTCCCAACAGTGATTGAGAGCAAGAGGAGGGGAGTGGGACGGCATTGTGTTCGCAGCTCCTCTGAAGAAGGTGGTTATTAGGGGGGATGGCTAAGGAGGGGTGAGGGATGGGGAAGGCTGTTGACTCTTCATCTTGTGTGAACAAAATCTCTGGCACATAGCCCTCTTCTGTCCCTCTGTCCTGGACTCCCTTGTTTACGAGTGCCATGAATTCTGTCCCTCTCGGCGGGGACCCCCACCACCTCCAACCTGCACCGCGCACATTGTGGGGCTTAAGTGCCCTTTAATTAGGCCGCCTCAGTGTCCGGCTGAAGACCGCTGAGGGTTTTAGGCTCTTCCCTGTGGGACCTCGCTGAGCGGCTCATACAGCTTCCCTCACACAGCGCAGGGATGAAGTGTTTGCTGCTCTAATGAAAAAGGTTTATTTGGGGGGGAACAGCTCTTGTCCTCTTTGTCCCCCGTCTTAAAAAGTCCTGACAAAGGCATTGATATTATCCCTAACACTCTCCCATTTCCAGGACACATTAGCGAGGATGCTGAGGTGAGGCAGCAGTCCCTCTGCTACCGCATAACTTCCAAATTCTCTCCAGACAAATCATGACATTAGACACGATGCACTTCCTGTGCAGACGGAGCACATAGCACACTGGGTCATTATGACTATCTGGTATTAATTTATCAGGCAATTACTTCACAGATGGAGCCAAATGAAAATCTGGTTCGTGGTCATGCAATTAGAATGGGAGATTTAAATTTGCCACATGTGAAGAGAAGCGGGAATTCATGCAAAAATATGTAAAGGAGCGTACATTTAAATAAATGCAACTCATAAACGCAGCCAAACAGATGAACAGCTTTGTCATTGTGATGGAGCACATTTCATTATCATAGCAGCAAAAAAAAAAAACCCACAGGATCCAGAGAATAATAGGAGAGGCATTGGGAATTTGCAAACTGCTCTGGCAAAATGAGTAATTTCTGGATGCCCTATTGTGTGAAGAGCTTACAGGGTGAGGGCTCTGAAAGGAAGAGGCAAAGGAAGGATATAAACATGGAGGCAAGTGAAATAAAGTGAAAGATGGAGGGAACGAGACGGAGAAGAATGAAAAGAAGTTTGTGAAGGGAGCAGGGCGGGATTGGGCGTGTTCAGAAACTTTTTCGCTACAGCCCAGTGTGTGTAGATACCCTCCTAATCCTGGTTTTATTGGCTGCCTGTGTCCAGCCATGCTGGTCGGATTGAGTAGGGAGGGTAGAGTGGTGGGGGGGGGCAAACACATGTCCTTCTTTGTGGTAATACGCTGATTAGGCCTGAGAAAGAGCCGGACCTGGTTACGGCCTTTTCTCAGGTAACCGTAGAAACCAGCTCAGTAGGGGTGCGCAGTGTGCCCACTGCAAGGTAAAGTGATGAAAATATAAATAGAGCGTAAAGTTAAACCAGTATACAGTAGATGTTTTGGTGGTGGGGTTTTCTTTAGAAAGGTAATATATATGTTGGTGCTGTTCCCCTCCACAGCAATAAAGTACATTGCTTTCCTTCAATGTTGGTTCACTTGTCTGTGGCCACCATCAATGGATTGTATCCCATCCAACCCCAGAAAAACATCCGAACTATCCCTTTAATTGCTGTTGACTTTCCAGACAGTTTGTGTTGCACTTGTGGCCTCGACCTGAGAAACGTGGTTTCAATGTTGCTCCGATGTAGACCGCAGACTGATTCCTCTGCCTGTGCTCATAAATTAGACCAATGTCACATTCCCCCCCCATCCATCCCTGGCCCTGCACACCGTCTATAGCTCCTGCAGAGCAAGTGTCGTCCAAATCCCAGAGCTGAGCTCGGCACATTTCTGGCGATGCTGTAACACATGACAATGTTTATGATGGGAAACAGACCTGCCTCATTGTCAGCACCGCAATGACATCTTGACTCGAGGCATAGAAAAGCCATCTTTATTGGTATAATGCAGAAGACTCCCCACCACGACTGGCAACAGTGCAGACTTCATAGGAGCTCCACAAAGATATCGATCAATTATTGTCACATTTAGAGGCTCGGAGGACCCCCCCCCTCCCCTCTCAAACAGGGCGGTAGGTCGAGTGCTGCTCACTCACTGCCTGTTTCCCTATCTTCTTTGTTATGGAGGAATAAAACACAGAAGGGGCGGTTGAAGAGGGGCCCTCCACTACTGACCTCCAGACTGTGGTCACTGAGCCCTCTCCCCACGGTGGGCACTCAGCCTCCTCTCTGCAGAGTGCACGCTCCCAGCCCCTGCTGAGCGACCTTCCAGCCCCCTCAGTCCACCGAGGCTCCCTCACGCCCTGGAGATCCTCAGCAGAAGGATTGCGGCCCCGAGGCAACACACAACAGAGGGACAGACAAGGGGATCTTTTTTATTTCAAGTATAAATACTGCTGAAACAGTTAAAACAACAGTGAACGTACGATATTTGAGTCACCTGTCACTCTAACAGCATACTGAACTGAATCTGCAAAGATGGTCAACTTATTGAGGAGATTATGGACAGAAACAAAACCTAACTATTTTGATAACCAATTCATCTACATTGTTCAAACAAACTGTGCCCCTTAAAATGGAGATGACTGTCATTTAAAAGACCAGCTTTATAAAGCTGGGATGGACATTTTTCAATATTGTGTAACGTTCTATAAACCATTTGATAAATTAAACAAACAAACGTCTAGATGAATTAGTAAAATAACCTTCAGTTGCAAAGATGTACAGGTATCAAATGTTTGTAATTGTGTACGGGTGAAATGCTTCCTGAAAGTCAACAAATAATATCTCGTTTTTTTTGTTGCTACAATAGTAAATCAGGATGACACCAACAAAACATCTCTTACTATGTTATTGAACTTATCATGACTTTCCTCACTTGGAAACAGATCTCCCAAAGGCTGGCTTCCACATGGCTGCACACACTTAATCTACAAATCTGTCAGGTAGTCCATCTGGTCTAGTTACTTGTTAATGTATTTCCAATGAGTGTCACATGTTTTAAATATGTGGTTTAAAAAGCCTTAAAGTGTAACAAAAGTGACATAAAAAAAAGCAGAGTTCTCTGCTACCCCTGACATAAGTCTCTTAAGGGCAAAAAACTAGTAGAAAACTGTCCGATACATCTGAATAATCCTGATGTGAGAGAAGTGTCAGAGCCTCACGGATCATAAAAAGTTATGTTCTGTGATGTATGAGCTTCATTCTGATGAACCCCTTCATTACTGGCTTCAAACTGTCTCCTGCAGTGGTTGTTAGTGGTCATTCTTTCCATGAGTGCTAATCCTTTGAGACAAAACTCTTAACAAGATTGTTATCACTACGTCTGGCTCTCTTTGATCTCTGCCGGCTATCTTGTTTGTATTCGTCCTGATCAGTTTCCTTGTGTGTGAATCAAATGCATGCTCACTTCAGGCTAAGTCCATCACAAGTGTCCCACCCTCCTCCTTCACTCTATCTGCCTCCCTATCCTCTCCCCCCCTCCTCCCCCCGTCCCACGGCTGCTCGCCCCGCAGCCCATCAGAATGACAATAGTATTGATGTAAAATGTGTCGCCTTTGGGCCGCTGAAGCATATAACCCTGCATGCCTGGCCCAGCCACCACCACAGTTTATGGCTTTATTGTGTCCCCTTTTATGTCCCCCCCTGTTGGGGTGGGAGGACAACAATTTAGAAAATTCACTGTATATGTCCCTGTGAGTCGGACAGAGATTATGTGTGTGTGTGTGTGTGTGTGTGTGTGTGTGTACATATATCCCAATCAATTAGTCAGGGCGCAACCCCTAAAAATCAATGTGTCAGAACGAACGTCAAACCCCGTATGGAAGAGAAAAGGAGAAACTGGCCTGCATCTCTTCACCTCCAGCCACTGTGTGTGTGTGGTGTGTGTGTGGTGTGGTGTGTTGTGTGTGTGTGGTGTGTGTTGTTGTGTGTGTGGTGGCATATATTCCCTAATCAATTAGTCCAGTGTGCACCCCTAATAAAATCAATGTGTCCAGAACGAACGTCAAACCTCGTATGGAAGAGAAAGGAGAAGCTGGCCTGCATCTTCTTCACTGTCCTCCAGCCACTATTTTTTTTTTCAATGATCACACATGAAACAAGTTGAGTAACAACTCTGCTCTACCTTTCTTCATGTGTCCCTCCCTTTCTCATTTCCCTCCCTCCCTCTTTTCACTCTTTCCTTTCTTTTCCACATTACCAGGGGGTGGCGTGTGATTGACAGATGGGAACGAATAATAATTTTTTTTTCGTAACCTAAGGCCATCTCCTGTGATTGGCTTGCCAGCTGACATCTCCAAACCTCATTCCCCCCGCCTCTCCCCCCCTTTAATATTGGGCCTGTGGATGAGGCATCCTCAGGGAGAAAAAAGTAGAGAGAGAGAAAAAGATATCTACCTTAGGGAAGAACCTCAGAGAGAGGGAGGGAAGGAGAGGACGGGTAGGAGCGTGTGTGCATGTGTGTAAGAGACACTTATTCTCTTAACTACTAGGAGACAGACACACTTTCCTGGCCCGACTCAAAGAAGGGGGGAAA